AGTGGAAGGTATTTGTTCGTTTCCTGTGTGGTGTCCTCTTCCTGTAACAGTTTCCCTCAAGAAATCTCTCTCAATTCCTCATTCTTCACTCAACTCTGAAGTCTCTGAGTTTGTCAAGTCTGTTGTGAAGAAATACAACTTTCTCCCGTGGACAAAAGGCAGAGTCTCTTTAAGACACTGTAGTGCCCGATTTATATGAATCATGTAACTTCCTGACTGACATCAGAGGAATCTAAGCTGAACCTCTGCTGAAACAAAGAGTGTAGCCCAGCCCCACACAGCTCAGTGTCCAAGGCAGCCAGAGCAGGACATGTGCCTACTCGACAGTGGGCACCAGAGGCAAATGAAACAAATGTCAGAAGGTAAATCACCCCCTGGTGGTGACAGTCATTGATTTGGCATCCTGTCCACACCGCCAAGCATAGGTAACATCACACAAGGCAGTAAGACCCACAACAGCTTGTTGCAGGTGTCCAGCGTGATGACAATCACACACACATTGAAAGGATATGGGATGTTTATCATGCGCACAGTAGATATTTCTGGGAGGATAGCAAAAGGCCCCTCTACAAGTCTGTCACACTCTGAGACACCCAGGAAAGGAGACTGGCTCATGTTTTTATTTTGTTGAGATGGTGGTGAGGGGATTCTGCCTGCAAGACTTGTATGCTTTCATATAACAGTAACATCTGAAGGAGAGACCGAGTCTTTCTTAGCAGGTTTCTTATGTAGACAGATGGAGAAGAGACCAGAATGACCCATAGGTTGTCAGCAGTGAAGTGCAAAATAAAATTGAATCTACCTTTTTCACTTATCAACCATAACAAATGAACAAAAATGAAATAAATGGTCATTTTGTGTGGAAATCAACTATGTCAATTGAAAATGAAAAAAAATATTTTATGTTGGCAGATTATGATGAAAATGAAGATGATTGGTGATGATGATAATAGAGTTAGAGAGGGGTCTTCATCCAACCTCTTAGAGAGAGTCTTTCTTCACCCAAGGTCACCAGGTTTGGAAGCCCTTCACTCAGCTGCCTGCTTCCAAAGATGCCAGGCTTCTCCAAAATCTGTGAGGACCGTGGGTTTAATGAGCCCTAATAAACTAACCTACCAAGTGAAAAGAATTTGTGTAATTCTTGGGAGGTAAACTAAACCCAATGAAAAACTCCATAGAGTGTCTCTACTGCTTTTCCTGTCAAAACAACTGATAAGGTTCCTCCCAGTGAGATTCAAGAGAAAGATTCCTGTCCTGGTCACCGCAATATGTAGAGCCCACTGATTGACAACCACAGAGCCTGTCAGAGAGTCAGACTAGAAAGGCAGCTTTAATCTGTGGGTGACATGAAAAGGCATAAAGTACGGACAGTTTTCACTATTCTTTCCTCTCCGGATGCAGCATGACAGAGGCGAGCTGTGAGCGCAAGTCACTGATTACATGGTTCCTTCCATTCACATGTCACTGGGAACAACTGATGTGTCCTGAGGGGAAGGTGGTGGGTCACCTGTGTCAGTGGGAGAACCTTTGGACACAGCAGTTCAAAGTTAATGAATGTGTAAAAATTTTCTGTAAAAATGTTCTTTTTAATTATTTGTATACATTGTGGGTGGTGGTGACCTGGAAGTGTAGGCACCTGACCACATGACACATGGCTGGTTTGTAACAAATCTCTTCAGTGTGCACATCTGTTATTGCACAGAAATGTGGAGAAAATGGAATTTCAAGCTACTTTTATCAGCTGAATGGGCTGTAGGTTCTGTCTTGGAATTCACTCCAGACATCGCAGAGATGCACACACAGTGAATACAACATGTTCACATCCCCTGGAGAGTGAAGCTGACGAAACCATGTAAACTATTCAAAGGGCCTTAGAGGATTGGTCCCTGGTCAGGCCTCGCCTTCACTGTTGGCCCAGGATTTGCTGCTTTTGGTTACACAGGAGCAGGAAACAACCTCCACTGTCTCTGGAAGTTTTCACTCCAGCGATAATTGAAGATGATATCAGTGTGTCTGTCTCATGGGTGCAGTTTGAGAGGGAAGTTTAACAAGATCCATGTGAAATTCTCTGATTCCAAGATGCAGAATAATGAGCTTTTTCAAATAATCACATATCTGAGTGAGGTAGGCAGCCATAAAGTTTTCCATTCTTTTTCACATAAAATCATAAGCTACACATAGGTATTTCCCAGCAACTGTTTTGCACTCCGCTGTCAATTAATCCTTTCAGAGTTCAGATGGGAGAATACCCCAGGTTAAGGCTGCTTGCTTGGCATAGAGTTATCAGAGCACTTTCTTAGCTTCTATGTTGCATGGTTTTGCATTGACTTCCACCCTCACTATATTTCACTCTCCAGGTTGGATGAGTGTTTGCAGACCTCCTCAAGTCATTCATGTGATGAGGTTTCCTGGAGACATGAGGGCCCATATGGTTTGTAGAGAATCCCGTCATATACTGCTCCCCAAACTTCTGTTTCTTTTCTCTTCTGTTGTCCTGATGGACAAGCCCTAGGAACTGCAGTGCTTTCCAATGTCCAGGGTGATTTTACCTCAAATGGAAGGATGGTTTTGGAAAGAAAGTACCATTATTATATTCCGTTCTGGTTTACAACCCCCAGGTTTAATATTGATGTGTGATTCATGAACACATAATATCAGGTTCAGGTTCTCCAAGAGTCTCTAATACATTGAAGATTTTTAGTGAAATTCCTGTGATGAGTATTAAAGAACTGTGAGCCCAATCATGGAATGTAGTCATGAATCCTGTCTCTCCAAGATGCACCACACAGGTGTGTGGATCTCACCTGGAACCAGGCACATGGGTAAATTTTCAGGCCGGTGCTTTCTTATCTGTGTGACTCTAGATATTATGTGTGGCAATTTCATATTAAATTCACAATACAGTGATAAACAGTCATGTTCACAGATCTCAGGCTGCTCAGCTCCATGTGTACTGTGCTCATGAACTTGTCTGCAGTCCTGGTAACCCTGCCTTGGGACTTCTGTGCATACTTTGTGTCACCATTGTTAGGGATAACCATTCCCTTCCACTCAAGACATTGTCCTGGGCCCCGTTGCACCCAGTGCATCCAGTGACTGGTGAACGTGTATCCAGAAGCCTTGCAGGAGAGCTTCGCTGAGGCCCCAGGCTTCCTCACCTCAGCCCCAGATGGCACCAGATCCTCCTCAGGGTGGATACCTGTGGAGAAGAGGTAGCAGTTGGTGGAAATATCCATTAACTGTCCCTCATCCCCTCCTCAACACAGGAACTGGGGAGCCTCTTACCTGTAGGCTCTGCCACCAGGTGGAGGTCTGTCCAGCTCCAGTCCATGGTGAGTGGCTGTGCTTTCAATACTTCTGTAAGGGAGGCTGTGTCTGAGGGTGATGCTCTCAGGGCACATACAGACTCATATTTAGCCTAGCCTGCCTCTGTTCCTTCCTAGAGTCTTGAGGAAAAGTACTTCATACCGATTATCAGACTCCATCTTTGAGGAGGTGGAAGACACAGGACACATGATCAATGGGGTGATCAGGGTTCAAGATTCAATCAGTGTTATCTGATTTGTGCCCCATTCTAGGCCCCAGAACTCTTCGCACATGGAGCTCCTCCCACAGAGGAATGAGCCTCACAGGACACGCTCCTCATTGAAAACACCTGGTGACACACGGTGACCACCTGGACAGTTCTGAGCTGTAATACCTGTAGGTTTTATTTATTGGATCAAGGATTCCAGCTTCTTAACATTAGATACAAAGAAGCCACTGAAATACTCCTAATGACTTTGGCTCCCTTGTCTTATTCAGTTTAGTAAATGCTCTGATAGAATTATCATTTTAGAGTCACACCATGTCCAACCCTTATTTCAGATGTTTTGATGAAAACAGGAAGACGCAGGCCCTCAGGGAACATGCCTCTGCAGTTCCCTCTCCACCTGCTCCTGAAGCAGCAGCCCTGAGATCATGGGCCCTACATGCTACCTGCTGTCCAATGACTGCTCTGCAAGGGAGGGTCCTGTCTGGGCTGTCTAGGCATGGACTCTAAGTGTCTGGAGTCCAGATGTGAAACCAGAACCCTGACTTCAAGATGGTTCCTCAGGGACACCATGTGTTTCCACAAGTCAGGATAAAGAAAATTGTCCTTAGTAAAGCCCAGTGACTCTGCAGGAAGCACCAAATGAGGGCAGTCTGCAGCCACCAGGGAGCCCCTTTGCTGGATCTCCCAGATGCACTGGCTCACTGACATCCCTGAGTCCAGAAGCTCTCAGTGTGTTTGAGGAACACTGATGTTTTTAGATTCATATACTTTCAGGTCCTATATGAGTATCCCTGCACATATCCCTCATGCGAACACACTTCTATTGCCCAATAAATCACATAAACACACACACACACACACACACACACACACACATGCATGTGCACACACACACACACAGAAAAACAATTCATGGAAATGACCCAAGGTTCCCCTTGTCCCCATGTCTTAGCCATTGAAGGGATCTCCACTGTCATCTAAACAAAAGAGGAACCTACTTTGATGACAGAAGGAAAGCAAACATGATTGATATGAGGATTAGACTATGCCCACCCTTGTGGATTCCTGTTCTCCCAGTACCTGAAATCTGCAAAGAACATTGTGAGAAGTTCCTAGATTTCCTGGGTAAATTCAGACCCAGGGTTTCATTGTCACCTCATTGTAGCCAATGATGTTGTGGTTTTTGGGTGGAGTTCTCTCTGACCTACTGCAGACAGGTTCCCATTCTGAGAGGGCACTGCCTGAAGTGTCAAGGGTAGTGACACAGTGGACACTAGAAAGTGTCCCCACAGTAAGAGAAGCAGGTACAGATATATAAATAGTAGAGCTGGAAAATTGGTCATGACATTTCAGAGTCAATGGACCAGTGTCAATGTAGGTTTCCACGGCTTCCTCTTGTGCCTGGAGTGCCCCCTGCAGCCAAGCCTCCCTGTTTCCTGCAGGGAGGTTTGTGTTTGGGCTCCTGCTAACTTCCCCTCTCTGTGTCTCTTGCACAGTAATACACAGCTGAGTCCTCAGTGGTCACGGAGCTCAGCTGCAGGGAGAACTGGTTCTTGGACGTGTCTCTGGAGATGGAGGCTCGACTCTTAAGGGACTGGCTGTAGTAACTGTTTCCATCAAAAGTTATATAGCCGATATACTCCAGCCCCTTCCCTAGGGGCTGGCGTATCCAGTACCATGCATAACCACTGGTTGTGATGGAGAATCCAGAGACAGTGCAGGAGAGGGACAGGGTCTGCGAGGGTTTCACCAGTCCCGGGCCCGACTCCTGCAGCTGCACCTGTGACCATACACCTGGGGGTAATGAGAATCAATTCCTGTCAGTCACTTGCATTCACCACCATCCCATAGACGCGTGTGACTTCTGACACACTCACCCTGAAGGGCTGTCACCAGGCACAGGAGGAGACCCAGCAGTCTCATCTTCTAAACACAGGTCTGCCTTCCCTAGAGACTCAGCCCTGTGTGAGGAGTGAGCTGTGAGCCCCCACAGCCCAGGAGAAGATTTAACCTGGAGCTGAGAAAGAAATTTGCATGTGTTGGGCTCTAGTCTCATAAAGGGAGGGAGACTGAGACCACTGTCCTTCTGTGTTCTGAGCACACTACTTCTCTTGCCTTGATGGTGTAAGTCAAGAATGGGAGATTAGATGGGTCATGACTCAGTTTTGCAACATGATGATGGGCAGCCCTTTATTCGATGTTTAATAGTTAAAGCTGATCTGAATGAGGAATCACATGGTTTTAATTTCATAGAGTATTCAAATGGATATTAAAACAAATTAAAGTTATGCCCTACCATCTTCCCAAGTCCAAAGGAACGCATGAAGTAGACACAGCCTTTCCAGATGGGATAATCATAATTTCATATGAAAAGTACATGATGTAAATTTTCATGTATAAATATTGCAATGTAAGATCAGTCTTCTTTTGTCATGGCTGAGGTGCCTGTGCCTTCAGATGTAGCTTCTGTCTTATTCCATGTCCAAGGGATGGGCCACACTGGTTAGAACCTGCTACCCCGAGTCCAGCCCAGACCCAGCAGCTGATGCAGGTGTTACACACAAAGTGCCCATTTTTGTCTCATTTGCCCCATGACAGAGTAGTCCCTTCCGTCAGGTGAGCTGCTCAGGAGGCCTCCCAGGTTCCTAGACCTCATGGGGCCCTGCAGGCACCATCTCTCAGAGACACAAAGCTCTGACTCTGGGCCAGCAGGTGTCTTGAGATGTGTGTACAATGGGTCCTGCTTCCTGGTCACAGAGGGTCAGATTGGAGCCAGCCATCCCCATGTTCACCTGAGAGCCTGGGGGTGGATCTGGAGGCTGATGTCCTGGGAAGGGGACTGGTCGATGTTGAAATCAAGGTGACAGATGAAAGGAAACCAAAGTATAAAATAGGTGTGTCTTTCATTATATAACTGCACTGAGTAAGAACACATGATGAGGTTTGACATCCTTGTAAATGCTTAAGACTATGTTGGATTAACCAAGTCTCACAAACCCTCCATCCACAGAAACTTCCTACTGCAGTCCCATCAGCTAATAGTGAACAGCAAGGCCTGTGGCACATCTGACAGACTGAGGGCACCCAAGGACCAGATGTGAGATTTTCTGAGGTGACAAATGTATCAGGAGATCCTTCTTTGTCAATAAGAGGACTGAGACTGAGGGCCTGGGGTAGCGACATGGGACCCATGTGACAGATGTGACAAGGATGGGCCCACTTTCCTGCAGGTGTTGTTAAGCACCTGTGAGGATCCCTGAGCACAGGTCAACTGTGACCAGCATGAAGAGAAATGAAGTGGATTTTGAAGGAGAGAAGCAGTGAGAACAGCTCTTCCAGGAAGCAGCACAATGTTGCTCCAGGTGACACCGGAGCTCTGTCACCCACTCATGCCCTCTCCACCAATGTGGAGGAGGAGAGCGCAGTCCCCAATCATGTCCCTGAGCAACTCAGTGATGCGTGGCCTTGCCTGCCCCAGAGGGACCTAAGCCTGTACATCCCACCGTCTCCCTCATATGTCCTTGTGAAGCTGCCTAGAGACGCATTTCTAGTGAGCACCTGGGTGTCTCCATGTACCAGTTCTCAGGGAGCTTTAGATACTGTGACACTAGATGAACAAAAGCCATTGAAGGTCTTGTCATTTTTCTCACTACCATGCCAGGTGAGAACTGAGATTAGTGTTGGATATCAGCCTGGCAGACACTGAAAAGTGATAATTAATGGGGGCAGAGTCATTCCAGAGAAGGGGGGTCCATTCCGTGCAGAATGGTCCTATGTATGATGAGCATCATGGTCAGTCATGCATCCTCACTGCTATCATGCTGACACTATGGGACAGAGTGTGCAAGACCCTAATGACCTGACAAACATATAGCATCTCCCTTGAAGGGACATCTGGGCACATGTAATGTACTGTGCCACCTAAGGATTTGACTTGATCATTGTTCTTATCACTACTTTTCCACATCACACTCTACTTTTAGACCAGGGAACCCCATGGCCCAGCATCTTGGATGAGGCTCCCCCTCTTCCTCAATTCCTTTTACCCAGAAATATCCATGGGAAAGTCTCACTCTTTCTGAGGTTCTTGCTCACAAGTGAGCTCCTCAGAATGAATTCCCATGTCACCTCAGCCTGCAGCCCTGATTCCATTCCCACCCTGCAGGGTCTGGAGGCACCAGCACACCTTGGACACCTGTGCACACCTCTCATTAGCGCTGGTGTGACATTTGTGTTATCACAGACAGTACCTAACATTCACTGTAAGAATTCATGTTAAATGGACATGGTGGCATTAAGTCCATCCACACCCTTGGGCAACCATTGTCACCTTCCAGATCCAGAAATTCTCACTTTTTCACTCTGACTTGGTGCCATTAAATAGAAAATCCCACTTCCTGCCTCTACGCTTGACATGGAATTCTGCATCTGTATCCACGTCCTTGACCTCTCCAGGTTCTCACAGACATGGATGCATACAGCCACTGTGATCTTGAGAGTCACCCATTTCTCTGGACACTGTGTCTCCAAGGCTCACCTGTGTTCTTGCAACTGTCCACTTTTTCTTCTTTTTCAGGGAAATGACATTTTGTGGTGAGGGTGGAGTGCATCTTGCTATGCAGTGTCCTATTCCTTCTCTGTTTTTCACAAAAATTCTGTTGCTTGTAAACAGGTATTTTTGCTGTTTTGCTGATCAGGAAGGAGAAGGCACAGAACAAGGAAGGCAATCAACAAACTAAGGTGAAAGGAATCAACAAGTGAAGCACCTGTGACCAAAGGCTGTGCTGTTAGGGCAAACAGTACTAATTTCTATAGCATTTGCCGTCCTCTGCCATGTTCTCCCATCCACCCTGGAAGCAGCAGGGTTAGGACAAAGGGGAGGGAGGGGCACAGCCTGTGTGACAAGAGCGGGGCTGATGGGGCAGGGACTGGGTCCACCTCCAGGTGACACCTGACTCAGCCGGGAGTCCCTGGGACAGGGGCACACATCCTCCCCCTTCCCTGTGCCTCTTAGGAAACAAGAGACTTTGACAGAAAGTACAGTCAGGGGAAATATAGGGGAAAGGTTTTGTGAGGGTCACAGAGGTGTCTCAAGGTTAACTCCAGAACAAGTACACAGCCCTGAGATGTAGGATGGACCTGTGTGTCCTGGGTGCTGGAGGTAAGACCAAAGCTCATGCGGATGCTCTAGTTCTGAGGCCCTCAGGCAGGAGGGTCACATTGTTCACCTGATTGTCTTCAAATGGTCAGGGAGCCCCCCACATGTTTGGAAGAGCAGCCAGCCTCACCCAGCTCATTGAAATAAAATACCCTCATAGAACCCCGGCTGGTTTTGCTCATTGGATTGAACACCAGCCTGATAAAGACAGGGCCATTGTGTCTACTTCTGCATCAGGGCACATCCCTGCATTGTGGGTCATGTGCCTAGTAGCGGGCATGTGATCACTCATTGGACAATGCCCAGCCACGTGGCTGAGGCGAAAGTGTCTCACTGCTCCCAAAGAAGACAGGGATCCTGACATGAGAGAAAGTGTGGGGCTGATCACTCTCATGTGGGGTACTCTGTGCTGTGACTCAGAACACGGATTCAGAACCACCGGGTCAGCGCTGCTCTGGAGTGTGGGGGGAATCATCCTCATTCAAGGTTCAGTGAGAGAATTCCTACCATGTTTCTATTTTCAGTCAAGAACAATAGACTCTGCAGGGATAGGGAGACAATAAGGACCCAGTTGAGAAAGTAACCATATCTGCAAACCCAGTTCCTTCCTACTATTTTGCAGCAGAGAGTAAGAAATGAAAGATACATAAAAAGAAGCAGGATTTGCCCCAGGGAACAAAAGGAGGGGGAGAAATCAATGACACAGAAGGGAAGCCCACCCACAAACCCTCTTGGGACCTGCCTCTAAGTTGGACCCCTACATGTAGGTGCATTGATTCCCTCTGTGTCTGGAACACCCCCTGGTGCCCTGATCACCCCATGGTGGCCCTGATGTCTCCCTGTTATCCTTAGTGTTCTCCGCAGCTCAGGTGTCCTGTCTCACTGATAGAGGCTTTTGTCTGCAGGTCCAGAGAGCCAGGCTCCCTCTGTATCTAAAGGCTCCCACAGAAAAGTGTTCTCGACCCAACTGGTGTGGCTCACACCAGCATGTACACTTAAAGGTCACCTGTCATGGCACATGCCTGAGTTTAAATCCAAATTCCACTTTGGGGTGAGTGAGAGGCAACCTTACTAAGGGTGGAGGTTTCCCTCCCTAACTTTTTTCCTCCACCTATCTCTAAAAATCACAATTTTTTTTTAAAAAAAGTATTATTTTACAATGCAATGTGAAATTAAGGAAAATAAAAGTTTTATTTCAGGTTATCATTTGAAATTTCATATTTCCTCCATGAATATAGGCTAGTTGTATAGAAGTTAAAAACCCAAAATCCCAGAGTGCAATGTTCGGAACAAACTATGATGGGTTGGCATGGTCCGGGGACATTAGGACATGAAGTTGGGACAAGTGACTGTGCACATGCTTATTCAACCTCCCTGCTGTACTTGGTCATGTGTGGGGAGCAGGGAAGAGTGAGCTGGGTCCGAGGTCCATGCTGCTCATGGTCTAGTTCAGATTTATGGAGAATTAGGCCAGTAGGTAACAGCAGGCTGTGTTATGGTGCATTTTCACAACCATCTAGTAAATGAGGGGCAGGAGGGTAACATGTGGCCAGGAAGGCAGAGAGCTGAGGGGACAATTGCAACCCCCTTGTGGCGAGGGTTGCCTGTCAGAGGGAAAAAGGTGTGTAAGGATGTTGTGTGCATGTAGGGCCCTAAGCTCAGCATATAAGTGTCCACATGGAGATGCTCCAGATTATATGGGAAACATTTTCAACCACGGGGAAGATGAGAGTGTTCAGGGTGGTGAGCATGAGACACTTCTTTTTTCTTCTTAAATATTTCTGTCTTAACCTCTG